CCATGCCTGCCGAGATATTGCAGCGCCTTTAGGGCTGCAAGGGTTTAGGGGGCTCATCAGAGTGCTCAAAGCTTCAGGATAGGTTAGGACCACAAGATCAAAGCTAAGCCTTGCGCTGGGATTCATCTGGCTTGTGACTTCCGAGCAGGAAGACGGAGTGCGCTGCCCTGGTCTGAGCAAGAAGGTATCGACTCAGGAGCCACCAACTCAAGGGTGACATTTTCAGTTCTGACATGTTACGTAACCCTACGGACTCATATAGAAGTTACTATTTTCCTTGATCGTAAAACCTTACTCATCCCCGTATACAAACCTTTCAAGCCCTGAAAACTATTGTAATTATATCTAAGGCCTGGCATGCCAATGCGCGCTGCGAGCCCGACAATGGGCATCTGGGCTTTGGATTGGCTTCAGGGCTTTCAGATGTCAGGTTCTTTCAAAAACCAGCCCGTGGAGGACACAGATGAACCAGCAAAAGGCCGCGCACCACGCATGCCCGAACCCTTCCTTGACTGTTGAAGCTTTGTGTTTTGGGTTCTGTCGCATCCCCTGGCCTTGAGCTTACTCTTTGGAAGGCTGTGCCTCTGAGAAGTACCTGGGGCGATCTCTGCGTCAGACAGACTTCGGGCTTGAAGTTGAAGCTTGAGCTCAAAGCCCTGATAGCCAGCATAACCTGAACAGCCCTTGAACTCTAAACTCCCAACAAACACCCTCTCCGCGCTCCGATGATCAGAACCTCAAGGCTATGCTTGTCCCCAACCGGGCGTGAGCGTCCCAGTCGGGCCGCAGATCCGGATTGCTTAGGCCTCCCCGGAGGAAGGGCCGAAGCTTTCAAGCAAGCCAAGAGCTGGAAAAAAGAGCAGCTTCTTTCTGATTTTTAGAGCTCGACGTTGATGCATGTGGACGTTTTAGCCCACATTGCTTGTGTATATACCCCAAATAGCATCGATGATAATTCGCCGGTTGTTCCATACCGTGTACCCACGGCCCAACACCTGAGGTGTGGCACGTGGGATAGTTTTCCTTTCTGCATCCCTTGTGGGCTGGGTCGAGGCATCGATTTCAAGAGTTCCTGCTGTACCCTAGCTGAGGAGATCTGTACATGCTACGTTTCCTGGAGACCTCTTTGCATCACGAGTGGGGCAGAAGAGAAAAGACCTCCGACCAGGTGGCCGGGTGATGATCTGAGGACTAACCTGCGACCAACTACATAGGGGCTGAGTAGGTACACTTTAACCTTTTTGGGCTTATATGGTCCAACGATAACTCGAAAGGTTAACCTTTTTTTGGCTAGGGTACTCAGCCCCTAAGACTGTGTAATAATGGTTTCCGTTGCAGGATTCCGGTTCCTGCCGCTCTCTTCTCTGTGTGTCGCACAGCAGTTGGTGCCTCGCAGGTGCACAACCGCATGCTCCAGTTGGGCGACACAGCAAGGGGTCGCTTAGGCTACGGCCAGCATAGGCAGGGAGCGGCAGCATGTGTGTGCGGGCCGCTATGATGCGCAACCGCGGAGCAGTTCACAAGATGCGTTTGTGCGGTAATGTCATTGAATTAGCAATCGCACGCCGCTCGTCCAGCCTCTGAAGCCCGCATGTGTGACTTGTGCGAAGCTAGACACGGCGGAAACAGAATGCCAAGAAAGACAAGGAGCGCAAGACACGAGATCTTCAAGCAATACTGACGCCAGGGGGCAAACCCTTTTAACAGGAACCGAAGAACATCAAACGCACGGAAGCTGATTGAAAACAGCAGCCAACTGCAGGATCAAGGAGAGCAGGGCAGACCACGAGAAACCAAGGGGAGAAAATGTGTGGAGTGGTAGTGCTTGTGCTTCTGCTCGATCGCGCACCGGCGCTTGCTTCGCACCTACAACAACTGTCAGATGTTTCAGCACGGAATGCTTAGAGAGTCGGGAAGGTGTTTGTGTGAGTCGAGTCTCTGCCGATTAAGACATAATTGCGCATGAGTCACCGGGTTCAGCACGAGGAAGAATGCACGGTCATGGTGCACGGCATGAGACCGCTTGCCGGCACTGCTTTCGCAGGCTGGTCTTTGTCGGATCGGATGGCCGTGTGCTCGGAGCGCCCTCACTTCTGCCAGAGGCGAACGACTCTAGGTCATTTGTTCGGGATTCTCCGTTCTGCGACGGAGAGTCGGGAAGCGACAGCAAGGGCCTTGCGAAATCACCGCCTCAGCCAGAATGGATCAAGCAGGTTAGGATGCTTCAGCCATGCGGACATGTGGTTCGCATGGGCGTTTGCCGTGACTTGGAGCCTCCGCGGTGCTGATGCTTGCGTTCAGCGGGAGTTTGGAGGAAGCTTGGCACTCCAGCCTTCCAGCGTGTCTTCTGTTATTTAGACTGATGGGGTGTACGAGTTTGGATTCAGGTTCGAGGGTTTCGTAGGCTCAGGGGTACGGCACGAGCAGGAAGGCTGCCTGCTTCCTAGGGGGACAGACAGCATCCCGAGTTGCAAGTGAAATCGCCCAGGTTTGCCTGACAGTGCAAAGTAAAGCATTTTGACGTTGTTCGGCATGATGCATCCCAAGCTTTCTGTAAGAATTCCAAACGACAGCTTCATGGGTTTCGAGAGTCATACAAGCTTGGATTTTGGCTTTGAGGTTTCGTCGAGTGTATATTTGGGCCTTACGTTGGGCACTGCAATACGTGCTGACAAGCCTTGTAGTATGCAAAGTTGGTTGAGGGATCACCCACGCAGCTCATGGCCATAACCCAGTAAACCCTAAACCCAGCGTGTTCCGAGGTTTTTACACCATCGTCAACCAGGGAAGCGGCCGCCGACTGATCGCGGATGAGCGGGGTTTCTACACCACCTCGGAGGCACGCTAAAAGCACTCGCTTTTTCAAGGTCCCGCAGAGGGAATATAAAGGTTCTGTTAGGGGTTGTTTCTCGTTCTGTTTCAGTGGTTCCATAGAGGGAAGTATTGGAGTACTGTAAGTGTATGGTAGTTTTGGGGCTCTGATTCAAAGGTGCAGAAACGGAACTCTCAGGCCAACCGAAGGACCTTAATTCGTGAGTGCCCGATCCTTTGGCAAGAAGCAGACCTTCCGACAGTGGGCTGAAGAGGGCACCGAGCCCAGAAGCTAGGTAATACAGGGGCCCTGATAATCCCCTCTACTATATTGGGGGTTCCTTATTATACTCATAGTATAATAATATACCCCAAAACACCATTCTAACTGTTAAGGCCCTCTAAAGGCTTCAAGGCTTCAGGGGTTTTGCGTTTAACGGCTGAGTAGGAAACGAGGGTTTCGGTGGTTTCATTTCCCAGGATAATGGGATCCACAGTGACACTTAGCATCGGGGCCTGCAATAACAAGATACCACTCCACCCTTTCTGACGCACCCGTGTCTTTTCGCCTTGTTTAGCATTGTCAGGGAGGTTTTCCCGGCCTTGAGTTCTCTATTCCCGAACGGCTGTGCTGCACAGAGAGCCCCAAAAAAGGGTTGGGGGATCCCCGGACCCTCTTTGCATCTTTTCTCGCGACCGTCAAGTGGGGGTTTTCGGATCGAGAGTGCAGTTTACGACCTTCGGTCTTCGGAACAAGTTGACATAGCGGTGCAGACCGTCTGACACGAGCAGCCTGGTTTGCCGCACGTACTTCCAACAACCTGCCGGATGTCCCGCAAAATGATGTTGCAAGCCAGAAGTACAAGCCCATTGTGTTTTCTGTGATCTCACTTCCCGCACCCCAAAATACAACCCAAGAAGCGGGATCCTTGTCAAGGGACACCAACAAAAACCCTGACACCGGATCGGATCTGAAAGACAGGTCAGCGTGAGCAGCACCAGCATGTGGCACGTCCTGGAAGATGCAAATGCAACGCACGTGCTGCAGAACGTGGCCACAGGGGCCATTTGGCAACAGATGTCCAGATCTGATGCCCGCGTTTTTGCGGTTGTGGGGATCCGCAGAAGCCTTTGTCATAGTTGGGTAACATTTTACATTTTAAAGGGTCCTTAAACCCAATAAGGAATATAAATTTAAGTTTTTAATACTACCCCAACCATGAACTAGAAACCAGCATCAAGAACTTGGATTTGGAGGGATGGGTTCAGACAACAGACCTGAGACTCTACCACCAAGCCTCGTGATGCGTTCTTCGCTCCTGGCTTAATTTGCCCAGTATAGAAACCTGCATAATTAGTACGAGTATTCATTACAGTCCCTAATATATGACTACATGCTCATGTACCCCAAACCCTCTTGAAAGTCTCGCCCTTATATTGTCCTCGCCCATTAGCGGTTGCATATGGACAGCTAAGCAAAGGGATCCCGGCCCTGAATGAGGCACCCCGAATCTACTGAATACTCCAAATGTGTTTCCGAAATCCAGAGGCTAAACAGAAAGACTTGCTAGGAGCCCTGAAGAAGGCACCCCTCTTAATGAATCCTCAAATGAACCTGTGCAGCGCTTGAGGCAAGGATTTATGCGCAACAGGGAGCAGACCGCGAACGTGGGTTTTACATCCTGGATGGCGACACGCCCGTCTTCCGTGATCAAAGGTGGTTTCGCTGTCTTGCTGTTGAGCTTGGGGCGCACAGTCTATGTTTGTAAGGCATGTCGGGGGTTTGTTATTCTTCCTTCAATCTTATCAGTCATCCGGGATGACCCCATGGAATGTTGATGCGCCGAGGACCTGCGCTAATCCTCCAAGCCTAAGCCAGATTTGGGTTATTTTCGGGATCGGGATAAGGGGACCGAGGAACGGACCACTGCAGATGAGACTCCCAGCGTCGCCGTAATCGTGCAGTTTGTAATAGCTTGCCCTCTGAGATCGTCTTGGGTAACCAGACGCCTCGCCCCACCGTGCTCAGCCACAGGTCTCTTCAGGCTCGGAGCCCTTGGCTCCTCCCAAAAGTAAGGCTGCCACTCCGGTGCCGGTTGAAGAGAGCAGATGTAAAGAGTCTTCGGCCAAAGACCGGCAGGTGGCACATTGACTGCAGAGCCAGCCTCGGCGGGTGTAGAATCACGAACATGAAGTCGCTGCGAGCCTTGGCATGGATTTGGGCAGCAGTGCATCCAGCATCTGATGCAAGTACGGTGGTCTGAGTGCTGCACAAGAATCATATTTAATGATCGTAGACACACACACACACTCCCACAACCTAAGTTGCAGTAATTGTCACGGCCCTTGCATCAAAAGCGAGAAGGCGAAGGCAGGCAAACAAGAAACAGGCAATCTGTCTCTGCAACGTATCTGGCCCATGCAGTTAGCTTCCTCGACCCTTCCGGTTCTATTAAACGAAATAGGTCCACCCAAAACACATCTCTGCCTGTCAGACAACAGGTACCATACTGGATGGTCCCGGTGGCCTCAGTGCGACAGCTATGTCGATGGATGCCCCCGCTGCAGCAGTCTGGTGGTGGCTTCGGCATGAAGGTTTTGTCATTTGGGAGGGCCGTGCTTGAAATGGGTTGCGATGCGCTTCTTGTCGAGGGTTGTGTGACCAATGTAGTAGTTCTGTGAAGCTCTCCGTCGAAACTCAGTCTAGACAGCATCATTCGCTGGGGCCTGTGCGTGAAGGAAACCCTCGACAACTTGCTTTAGTTATTGTAGTTGTCCTGGCCGCAGCAGGTCGTTGCGGCCGGTCAAGTTGAAAAAGACACGAGTAGTGATATAGAAAGAAGAGGACACCATACAAGAGAAAATCGAAAATGAAGACGTACAACAATAGCCATCACGACGGAGACAGTCGTGGCAGTCACAAAAGCAAAAGCAGCCAAGCAGCAAAGACAGAGACCATGATCATGAAGGCTGGCTGCGTTACGGCACCCGACAGATGAAGCAAGTAGTCACACCTCCCAAGTCCGAAACTTGTTATTGAAAACACTGCCGCCAACTCCTCCATCGATCATCGGTCATCAAAGGTTCATGCGCCAAGATGCCGATGAGCTTGGCGTCTTTGGCGCAAGAGACATGAAGTCCGAGTTTCGGACACCATTGTGTTTGTTGGCAGGTGTGGGTGCATGTGTCTACGGCAAGTAAGACTTGACCTAGGTGTACAATTTACGTTTTGGTACACGAGTTAAAGCACAAATACGCCGGTCTGTTCAGGAATACAGGGAGGTATGTACAAATGTGTATGTAGTAGCCTGGTTGCTAGCTAACTAGGTCCAGCTAGGTAAGAGGTAGGTGATACGTGCATACATTCATACATTCAGACAACCGTATGTTACATTAACACACACACACAGACACGCATACATACATACACATACACACACACACACATGCACCACACCACTACTTTACAACACAAAAGCACTACACTGTGTTGCACTGCATCACAACTCCTGATTTCCCTACAACCATGCATGCATGCATACATGCATACGTACGTGCATTCACTCACTCAATCACTCAGTCAATCAATCATTCATTCATTCGTTCAATCATTCCTTCGTTCGTTCATTCATACATATGTACATACCGCATACATAAATACATGACATACACACACACGTACATACAGACACACACACATACACATGCATGCATATACACACAAGTGGATATACTGATTCAGGCATGCGCAGGTGTTTTGAGTACTCATGCATCTGAGATACTTCCCGTGGCTTCGCAGAGGGTTTACGGTCCGGGAGCCTCGAAGTCGAGTTTGAGAAGGGCTTTTTGATTCGGATTCAAAGGGGAGCCTGAGAAGGCCTGAAAGCTCGAAGGATGCAGGGGAGATATGTGGGTAGATGTCAAATTTAGGGGCCCCTTTTCGGGTACCCTAAATAGTAGGTGCCGTCTTATAATAAAGACCCAAAAAGGGACCATAATTTGGACAACCACCTAATCTGAGGCACGGAAGTTTCAGACGTCCACATAGTCCAGCGATGTGCAGGGCAGGATGACGCGTAGCAGCATCCCGAGACACAAAAAAGCAGGAGGGAAAATGGGGGGTTCCCGAAAATAGGGGACCCAAATATATAATACCCTAAATAGTAGGATCCTGATTACAAGGACCCCAAGATAAGGTACCCCTGAGTTTCGGAGTCTCCCAAATGGAGATTCGCAGGCCAACATCTGGCTAGCACCTGCGAGCTTCTCAAGGAGCACGAGGCCCCGCCTTTTTGACGCGTTTGGAGTCAAAGATAGAGATGAGCTCAGTATGGGAGTTTCCGAAACTTAGGGGTACCTTATTTGGGGGTCCTTATAATGAGGATTCTACTATTCAGGGTATTATTCGGTATTATATTAGGGTCCCCTATTTTCGGAAACCCCCATATGTAGCCCTTCAACAGCATAGGGACGACAGGTGAGAAGACTGTGTGTTCCAAGCTCCCCTGTGCACAGCAACTGTGACTTGCAGGTGAAGTCGAAGCAGATCCTTACACTGCAGTCGCAGTTGGATGAAGCCAGTGCCAGGCAACACTGTCTGACAGCAGCGCATAGGGCATTTACTCGGGCGGTTTGATATGGATGAGAGGACTGTCATCGATTCCGTTTGTCGTGTTTGGCTTTTCTTCACGACCTGACGCCGGAAGCCTGTAGACTTCCATCCTAAGCCCACCACGAACTAGCTGCTGCCCTTTCTGGGTGTTTGCCCCGCCTCCCGGCCCTAAACTCCTAAACTCTCAACCCAACCCCGGAAAAGAGCCGTTAACAAAAACAATCTGGTTGGGCGTCGGTCTCGCCTTCGGAGGCTTCATGAAGCGGAAAGCAGGGCGAGAGAGACCCTGAAACTCTCCCGCAGCAAGCTGAGACAAGGTTTGAAAGCCCACACGGACTACTTTGGGATAACTGTAAGTGGTTGCTATGAGAAGGGTGACTACAATGGTAACATTTGGAAAACAGGGTTCCCTCAACTTCTAAGCGTAGTTTTCCCGGTTCGGCTCCATTTACACAGCGGCCGCAGGAGGTGTCGAGGTGTAGGTTAGCCCGAAGACTCCAAGGGTTTAGGGTTTAGGGTTTAGGGTAAAATAGTACCTACTTTGGGCTATCTGGAGTCTTAGGTTAGGGTTCCGACTCAGGACTTGCACACCTCAGGCCCCTGTCTTAGAGAAGGCAACCGGTTCAGGTTTCGCGGTTTTTAGGTGTCAGGGTTTGAGGTTTCAGCATTTTGGGCCTTGGGTTCTGGAACTTCAAACACATGGAGGGCTTTGGAATTCCGAGTCGAGGATGCAACCTGACCTGGGCATCCTCGCTCTTTGCATCGCATCTTGGCACAAAAAGCACCAAAAGCCTGCTGCCGAGACCGCTTCGTAAGAGCCTCAATTCAACCATCCTCGAACCCTTAGAAGAAGCTTTGCAGAGCCCACCCCTTCTCGAACGCTTACTCAGCCCGGCCCTAGGTCTGCATATCTGTACGCACACCCTTCCCTCCCAAGCCCGATCTTCCGGCCTGTGGGCATTAGGGCCTTCCCTCGGGATTTAGGGTCGTTGAAGGGGTTTGGGGTCTTGGGTCAAAAAGGGTTCTATATAATATACATATATATATATATGCATATATATATATATATATTACAGCTTTGAGCGGGCTGCAGGTTTTGAGTTGCCTCGTTGGTTTGGTGCCCACTCTAAGCAACACGCAGCTCAGCAGGAAAGGCCCGATGAGTGTAAGGGCTCACCATTTGTGCCTTCGATTCTGCGAGCTTGTTTCGATAGATCGTTTACATATGGGAGTTTCCGAAAATTAGGGTACCTTATTTTGGGGTCCTTATAGTAAGGATCCTATTATTTGGGGTACTATATTAGGGTCCCCTATTTTCGGAGACCCCCATATCTCGGCCTGTATCACATCTCTCCTCTCAAGCTTCTCCGTGAATTTTGTTGCCAGTGTCCAGTTGAGAAAGCCGCACGGACGTTGCCTTCGTAGGACCTCAGATCCAAATTTGCTTTCGCCGAAAGCCCCACCCCACATATGGGTAGTTGTCAAAATTATGGTCCCTTTTGGGGTACCCTAAATAACAGGTGCCGTATCATAATAAGTACCCAAAAAGGGACCCTAATTTTGACAACCACCCATATGTTAGAATGAAGTCTAAAAGCATTGGAATCCGGCACGCAGTCTTCTAATCGCCTGGCCCGGAAAATGCAGGCATCCGGCGCGCTCCGCATTCAGCCCATTACTTGTTGATGTAGCCTCAGAAAAAACACAAGAGCCCCGGGATGGATAGCCCGGAGGGCGTGAGAAGTCAGCCAGAGACCGGGAAAGGTTCGGGTAAACAAAACCTGTCCTAGGTGATGGTGACTCTGCTTGTCACCGTGGCCACAAGGCGACACGCTTACATTCACAGGGCTTGCGGACGAGTTTCGAAACATTTCGGTTGCAGCATGTAGGCTTCAGAGCTACTAGGATGATTAGTCAGGCTTATCGGCACCATGAGAAAGGACCAAGAACGGGTGCCATGATCTGTTTTCCTTGCTCTGGCCTGTTGCTGCTGGGACTGGTGCCTTTAGTTACTGCATTTGCTTCCATGCGTACGGCCACTACGACTACTATTTTTTGCAGCCTATGTAGGGCGGTTTCATTGCCTACTGCCAACGTCCGGTCACGAAGCCTCTTAACTTTTTGCGTGAAATGCCGCTGCTGTTGGCAAGCTTACCTACGATGTGGAAGATTAGGACATGCTATGCAAGTTCTACCTCTTTTGCGGTTGCCACTGGTCTTACCTGCCAGAATTTTCCACTGTCCACGACACATGCAACAACCGCTAAGCATCCTCTCCAACACCTGGCCGTAGGGCAAGGGTTGTAGCTGGGCCACAATTTAAGGGCTCGTTCGTGCGCACACACGTGACACTGGTTCAAAGACATGGCTAGTTCTCTAAATTAGGGTCCCTTTTCGGGCTCCTATTGGGGACCCAAAAAAGGGACCCTATTTTAGAGAACCACCCACATGTTATGCGAGGCTTAAAAACCAACCTTAGCCTCCTCGCCTGGGTTGTCCGAGTGGGAGAGTCGCCTTTTACCCGAGGCGCGGCTGGAACAACCCGGAGTTCCACCACCAGACGGTCCACGTTCAGGCTGGGGCGAGTCTGAAAATCTCAGCACCTTTCCCGAGAAATTGGGGTCCTTGCCATGAATAGCTGGCATCAGAAGTCATTTTGGGGGAATCTCTGCGATCTCCGAAGGAATCTGAGCGGATAACAGAATTGAAGGCCTACAGCTCATCTTACCACCGACTTGTGAATAGGACGACCGTCAGAACGTGAAGCTTCCACAGATTCAGGTGGATTGTGCGTCATTTTGCTTCACAGTGAAGGTTTCGGAGCAAGCTACAGTAGCAGTCGGATCCTCTGTGACCAATGTTTCAGGGTCCCGGTACCCTTCTGTGACAACTGGCCAAAGCAGTTGCACACCATGTTTGCCGAACTCAAAGGCCGAATTTCTGAACCGCGACTGGCAGAAATGCAAAAAAGGCCCTACTCACATTACCTTCCCGACCCGTTCACTCATGCTACTGTTGCGACACTACCTACCTGCCTACTTACCTACTTACCCACCTACGACTATGACTACTACTCCTCCTCCTCCTCCTACTCTACCACTACTACATTATTACCACCACCACTACCAACAACAGCAATGGCATGAATAATCGAAGTCAGGAATAATGAGTGGTGCAGTTACCGTACGATTAACACTTAGCTTGACATACTGGTAATAAGCATGATGTAGACCATGACCATTACAGCCATGAAGCCAGTCATCATGATAGTAACGACAGTAACGCAACACGTTCATGAAGCCTTGAGGTGAATGGTGTGCCTGGCCGGTTGGTGCGCATTTGCTGTCCCGGGGTGCGTCATCAGGACATTGAGGTGCTGGGGCATTGCGGTTTCGGCTTTGGGGTTTCAGGGTCTATAAGGCTTTCAGAGCCGCCCCTTTCCGGGATGAGCCCGAGCCTGCAGAAGCCCATAGGTTATGGGTTCAGAAGTTCCATCGGCATCCCTCCATATTACCATTAAGCTGGTCTTATATAGGTTTAGGTACAGTAGGTTGACAGTTATCCAGTCCAGTTCGGGGAAGTAAGGCACAAAGCATTGCAGGAAGAGCCTGTCATAAACCATGGAATGAAGATCGCCGCTGCTTCGTGATAACAACCCGGAGAGGCGCAAGCAGAAGATGTGTGAGGTGGACAAAAGGGTGATCCATCAAGGCCCAAACGAGGCAAACACCAAATTACTTCCAACTGCAAGCTCAAGTACCTGTTGCAATTACTTCAGACCGCAGGTGAAGCTACTGCCCAATGGATGCCACATCGCCTTGACCCGGCCGGCGATGCGAGGCCTCAAGGACCGAAGGATGGGTGGAGGTTCGGTTCCAGCAAAACCGAAAAGAAGGCCTTCCGTGGGCTTGTCAAGGAACTCACTCTATGTATCGGCTACCAAAACAGGGCTGCATAGTAACAAGATGTATGTGTGTGTGTGCACGTCAGTGCGTTTTCCTTAATATCTTAACTCAAACTAAGATCCCTAGTAAGAACCTTAGTGGCCTCAGATGCCGGCATTGCTTCCTGGAGCACTGAGTGCGCTCCTTGAGCCCCTGTAGAAACCCTCCCCCCCCATCACCTGGGCTGGGTCCATGGCAACTCAAAGCAACTTCAACCCGGGATGCGCACGGCCAGGAAGCCCGGTGGCAGAAGACGCTACAGTTCGACTTCCGCGAGGGCTTCTTTGAGTTCGTGGAGGCATCAGGGGTATCTAGGAGTTTAGGAAGGCTTCATGGGGGTCAAACACTCTGCCCCCTTCTCGCCGTGCCGCAAACGGCTAGCCGCACATCAGTTTCTGCCTCCACGTGGTAGGCAGCAGTTGGACGCGTAGAACCTCAGGGTTCAGCGTTTTGAGAGTACGCCGAGTGAGTCAGAAGCACAGATGCAGACAACAAAAAGTCACTAGCAGCCACCGCGCGCGATTGTGACACCTCCGTGGCAGAAGCATTGAATTCAAGCGGAGCCTCCAAAAGACGGGGGTTGTGGGTACGGTGAACGACGTTATCTTTTCCGTGGTTTGCTCGCGTACGTTTTGAAATTCAGACCCTTGAGGATGTGGTCCCAGGACGGCTGGGAACATCTTTTAACCTGTGCTCTGAGCGACGAAACCTGCTGATTCACACTGCTATGGCCATGAAACATTAAGTAAATCTATATATCTAACTACAAATATAAATATATGTATATATATATATACACATATGGCGATGGTAATGATGCCAGTGGTGCTGGTGCCGGTGGAAACAATGCTGACACTACTGCTGCTGCTGCTGCTGCTGCTGCTGCTGCTGCTGCAGTTTGCAATGGCGGTGATGGTGCTGGACATCATCAAGATCATCATTGCAATCAGCATCGCCAGCATCGAGAGCGCCTTGCATTTCACGAGAGTTGGCAGCTGGATCCTTGCCTTCCCAGGATCAGATGCAGCTGGAGCTTGGCCCCTCAGATGAAAGATCTGCCAATCCAGGGCTTCATGCAGGGATCTAAGCCTTGCCTACATGTCAGCCCTGGAGCCCCAAGAAGACATGGGGGCAGCAATGCCACGCTTGTCCCATTACTTAAAAACCATGGCGTGGCTGTTGCAAAGGATCCGTAGTTCGAAGGCCAGAGCTGCAGACGCTGCCGGCAAAGTGACAGATGCGAAGTGAAGGAAAGCAGCCGATTGGCAGCCGAGGCTACCTGACTCTCCTTTTCCGCGAGACGCATTATCAGGATCGCACGATTCGCTTCGCACAGCACTTCAGCATGGATGCCTTTGACCACGAGCTGCCGGCCAGCTATACGAAGCTAGAACCCATGGCACCAGCTCAAACTTCCGAGAGACTTTAGCAGAGCCTCGTTGGATGTAGAACTGCATATCAAGACTGCGCAAGCTCAGAGAAGCCATGCACCAGAGGTTGGTATGGGATTCACCTGGCAGTCCACTTCCAAAAGGTACCAGTCCGGCGACTTGGACAAGCTTTTGATGTTCCTTTTTCATCCCGCTGTTGAAAGAAATGGAAGCTTCAGAAAACTTGAGCCCGCCGTTAAGAGATCTCGATGGCGTTTGGCATCTACATGTCTGCACCGCTGCCTCACGCAACCAGAACTTCCCCGATTCGCCTGGGCTGAGGCGAAGGACCAGGGCGATGAGTGCGCATCCTCGAAGAGCACGGCCTCCTCTTAAGGCTCAAAAATCGCCACGACAAGTGGGGGCCTCCAGGCCATGCGGCATCTAGACGTAGAGCCTTTAGCCTGCATGGGTGCGCACACTCACGCACACACACACACACGCATGTTGTAAATGTATCTGTATATACAAGCACTCAAGCATACACACATGCATACATCCACGCACATCCGCTTGTTTGTGTCTGCTTGCACATTCGCAGGTGCAACCCCAAAAGTGGAGCTACATATAAAGAACAGCATACAAGTGAATAATACATGGATGAAGGAAAGAATGAATTCTTTCATGCCTGATTGACAACATGAACCAATAATGCATCCAGCTTCATGGTGATGTGGAGATGGCATCTAGGAGAGACGTTAGCCAGATGTCCTTCGGCAGACCACGTGCCACGCAGATAGATGATAAAGACGACTCGATAGTGTTCCATCTCGGATACAGAAGATGCCCAGGTTCGAGGCTGGTACTTGGAGAGTTCCACACGTGGTTCTCGTACCATTACTGTCTGGTGCAGGGACCTTAAGGGACTAGCATAGGGGTCCATTCCCCCCATTCCTTACTAAGCACCAGACAGATTAGAGCAGAACCTTTCAGAGAGGCTTCGACTGCCATCACAGACCACGGGTCTTGCTTCAAAGTGAGCACCCCTAGAGCAGCTATGCAGCTAGACCTTTTTTAAGCACCCCCCCCCCATACTTAATATCACAGCCGAAGCTTTTGGAGGTTTGACTAACGTCGCAGTTTCAGGAGTCTCTTCCAATAAAGACCATAGATAAAACAGACTGGGATCATCATTACCTCTCATCATCCCCAAACTCGATACTGTTGATGTTCTGAAACCCAAAAGAGGTAAAGCTGAACGATCTACAGCAGCCACAACAGTCGAAGCCCTTGCCACGCTCCATTCTGCACCAAAGCGCTTGCAGGGTTTAGGCTTTCAGATGCTTCTCGAGTCTGTGTTGAGAAATGATGATGATCCAACTGCAAACGAAGTGTGCACCATGTCAATGATGAATCTGAAACGTCAAAGCAAACGTTCTGAAGTCGCGAACTGCAGCCATTCCTGGCGGCATCATGCAGTGAGCCCGAAGTCGCGGCAAAAGGTTTTGGAGGACTGGAGGGCCTTCACAGGGAAATTCTGCGAAGGCTGTTGGAAAGAAAGAGTGTGCATTGGTAGTTAAGACATACAGACAACATGGAAGTTAGGGTGTTTCAATTCACGCCAGACGGTAAGCCTAAACCCTAAACCAATAGTTCCACAGTCGTGCCGAATGGTTTACCTAGGCCCAGGTGGAAACTCGGCCCTTGGCAGAAGGGGTTAGTTAAGGGACAGTGTGACATTGCTTCAACTTCTCTAGGAGTTCTTATTGCGGGAGCCTGAAAAGGGACACATTGCTTGAGAGAGAGCGAGAGAGAGCGAGCAGCCCCTAGACCCCTAGAAAGCAAGCAAGCAAGCCAGCAAGAGAGAGAGAGGGAGACGTACTCAGGGTTTACAGCTTAACGAATGGATGTTTTGGAGGCAGTGATGACGAGAAGAAATCCTGGTCCTGAACACCGCCCCCGATCCATACTAAGAGCCCTGATCAGAACCTCTGTCAGTTCTCATCTATCTAATATGAATCCAGAATACGAGGATCCATCCATGTTTTAAGGACCTTTGGATAGGTATCTCTAGCATCATAGGCTTCTTAAGGGGTCCCCCCGTCTACAAACTTATGTAGAGCTTGCGAAAACCTTACTAAACCCCTCAACCCTAGAACCCTACACAACCCTATAAAACTCCTGATCTAAAACCCTACAAAACCTAACAAACCTCTTCAACCATCCCGAGCCCCCCAAGCTCTTAAAGCCAACCCAGGCCGGGCAGTTCTCCGAAGAGAGGCACCGGACGACCCGTCGCTGTTGAAGGGGTTTAGTATAGGGACCTAAATAATTACTTACACCCAACAAAATTTTGGTGGCTCCTTAATATAATTATAGTATAATATGGGACCTAAATAATTACCTACACTATTTTGGGGGGGCTCCTTAATATAATTATAGTATAATATGGGGACCTAAATAATTACCTACACTATTTTGGGTGCTCCTTAATGAAATTGTAGTATAATATGGGGACTTAAATAATTACCTATACTATTTTGGTGGCTCCTTAATACTTTTACTTAAAACCTATACTATTTTGGTGTTCCTTGACATTTTTAATTAAAACCTATACTATTTTGGTGGCCCCTTCATATTTTTAATTAAACCTATACTATTTTGGAGGCTCCTTAATATTTTAATTGAAACCTATACTATTTTGGTGGCTCAGTAATATTGTTAATTATAAAAGCTATACTATTTTGGGGGCTCCTTTATTTATGGTATAATATGCCCCACAAAACCTTGTTTGAATTATTAAGGCCCCGACATTAAGTTGTCCAGAGGGTTGCCGCATGAGCGAGGATGCGAGGAGCAAGCAGGTTGACAGGCAGGTGCTGCATTTCCAGCAGGTGCAATGCAAAGCGATGTTCATGCGAATGTCACGAAATCAACCCAGTTCGAAAGCACAGCGGAGGGTCTGCCTTAGGGTCCACAGCTCCCTATCGATTTTTTGTAGAGCCCTCCGTAGGCTGCAGAATGCCGGGGGATGTCACGAAGCCTTGGCCCAGTGTTGCCGAGTGCAGGTCGCCCCGGCCGCCGTTTTGGCACACTGAGCTTTTCCTCCGAGCCCGCACCACCCTCGCTGCGGACTGTCACAGGTTCCTCGTTCTACCATGGCTACTATACTGCTGCTCTCTACCCCTTCTGTTCCATGCCTGCAGCTGCCACTGCCGTTTATGCTTCTTGCACTACTTATCGTCTACCGCCGCTACCACCACCTGAAAGACGACGACTACTGCCACCACGACAAGCCGCGACCGCTCCCTTGCACTAGCACGAGAACTGTCATTAGTACTTGTTCCCCAGCTCGATGACGATACCGCAGCGTTTGCCAATCATGTCATCCGAATTGTTCCATGATCACAAGATTGCCACAGAAAATCCGCGGCCATTAAGTGGCAGCTGATTGCTTCAGAGGCAAGCAACACAGCCGTTTGCGGGTGAGGATCGTTTCGTTTAATATGAGGGCAGGCTGGCGTCAGCACGCCGCTTCGGGAAGATAGGCTACAACTGCTGCAGCTTTGTAAAGATGATGCCAGCCCCTCACCTTTGAAAATCATTTTCCTCGAGGATTTTCACTTGACAGCATAACAAGATCTTCTGGGTTGCAATGTCGCAACGGATGTAAGATGTCAGCACTCTAACGCATCTACTTGCACCCTGATCATCAGACGTGTTGCCATGCATGCTGGCTTCGCAAACTTCCCTGGCTCCGCCCAGATGTACCCAGCCACTCAGGCTGGCCCCTTGTTGTGCTGACAAGCTTCACACCACACAGGCCCCGAATGTACAGTGAAAAGCGGGTCCCCTGTGGGTGCGTAGGCGTCAGGATGCAGACATTCAGGCCAACCAGGACGCGGAACTTGGGCGAGATGGGGCAGGTCTGTCTCGTCAAGGCCCGCACTGACAGTTCAGATAACATGTGGATGTCGGCCCGTAAACCCTGAAACCGCCTGAAACCTGGTGCTTCAGCGTCATGCATGCTCGTCTTGATAGCCGTCGAAGTATCACCACGAGAATAGGTGGACCATATGCCTCGCCTGGATTGTTCCGAATGTGAGCACCGAAAAAACCCTGAACCCGAAGGTCAGAAGAAATGTGGGAGTTTCAGAAAATTAGGGTACCTTGTTTTGGGGTCCTTATAATAGGGATCCTATTATTTAGGGTACTATATTAGGGTCCCCTATTTTCGGAAACTCCCAAATGTGGATGTGAGCCAACCTGCCCCATCAAGCCTTCTCTTCCCTGCACAGAGCTCCAACTCAGAGTTGTCCGGTACTAACCCACGATTTTCGTACTGGCAAGCGGCTCTCGCAGCTTTCAAAGCAGACCTTTTTCAATTTCGGGAGCCTCGATGAGTTGCACAGGGTTTACTCCTGCCAAAATGTGCCTGTTGGGGCTTGGGATCTCCCCCAAAAAGGAGGCGCAGCATCTTTTGAAGTTCTCAACGGATTCCGCACCACGAGGCTCCCAAGACTTGGGAAATGCCCAAGTGGAGGACCCAGACATGCGGTCACCAGGCCCGCAATCGAGCCTGGCAGACCTCGTTCGACAGAGGGTCAGAAGTCCCTGAGTTCAAGGATCTGAGGTGTGAGGTTTGACCCTAAACCCTAAACCCTAAACCCACAGCATAAGCCTTTCCCCAAAGATGGAGACGGTAGATCCATGACGAAGCAATTGAGGTCCCCGACGGCGTCGGAAGAGTTCGGAAGCTCCGAGCAATGATCTCCCACTTCACTTTTGTGTAGTTGTAGTAGTAGTAGTAGTAGTAGTAGTAGTAGCAGCAGTAGTAGCAGGCAGTGGGGGTAGCAGCTGCGGCAGCCGTAGTAAAATCGTCCACTGGGGGACTTCGGAAAGCGCTTGTTTCGCTTCTTGGTGCGTGGCCCGTGCATGGGATTTTGTCGGCAGCAGATCCTTCGACGGGTCAGGAACTCTCTTTTGTGGGCCAAGCCTTATCGCGGGTCCCCATGTTACAACCCAACATCGATCGAGATCTGTAGAATTAAAACAGATAGTATTCAGTATTCCTATTGTCATCTACCTACCCTTTGAATCATTAGGGTCCTATATTACGGCTTCAGGACTCAGAGGCCTGGACTAGAAGCCTGGGAAACCCCTGGCCTTTTGAAGCTTCTGCTGCAGTCACTGGCCGCCTTGAACCGGCGCATCGAAGTCCATCATCATGGGGCTTAGGCTCCAGCTTTTTTAGCATTTCATACTTCACGTGGCTGCTTCATGTGCATACTTCTTCAGGGAGGTATCTTTGCCTAGTGGTTGTGGTCGTGGGGCATTTTGGGCAATCGACAGTCTGTTCGTTTCAGGCGCAGTTGCCCATGCAAGGCACATGTCGCTCATGGCAAGGGACGAAGAGTTGTCAGTCGCGGGTAGCTCTTGAAGCATGCGAAGCCCGATAAGCCAACATCACTTGAACCCGGCACCGCAAAAACCCCTAAACGCTGCGGCACCCCAGGCCTCAAATTCGTCGTTTTCAGAGCCTAAACCCTAAACCCTAAAACCATGCAGGAGGCAAAAAAACCCTAAACCCTAGAACCCTAAACCCCAAACCCCTTTTTGAGCCTACGCAGATTTGGGAAGCTTCGAGGCGCTGGAAGGCTGCCAGTGGGGTGGTTCGATGCCCACCGAGGTGTGACAGAGATGGCACAAAAGCCGCAGGAGTTGTCTGGGGGGGAGGGGGGGGGGAGTTTGGGATTTAGGGTTGAGGTTTCGGTGGCCCATGCTCTCCCCTCATACCCCGGGAAAGGTTGAGGTTTCGGGGCTTAGTCTGAAAGTCCCAGTTCAATAATTCAATGTTTAGCTTCTTGAGTTTAGGGTTTGGAGTCCCATGATTGTGCCGGCGCTGTTCTTGATATTGTCAATCTGAAGATCAGCGCCCAAACCCATAAGCGAAAAGAGCCCTAAACCCTAAACCCTAAACCCCCAGGGCATCAAGAATCAGCCATTACATCCTTCACGAGGCGATGTTGCACAAGTCTGTGTGCAGCAAGATCCAGGGTTTGCGGGTCCATGTGGGTTTAGGGGTGCTTCTGGGTTCAGGGTTTAGGGTTCTTAGATAGGCTCAAAAGTCTTCAGAGAAATTTATGAAAAAATCTGCTGAAGGAACCCCAGACATGTAGGTCTGGCTTTGTGGGCCGACAAATCATGCAAAGAGACCCTCAACCCTAAACCCTAAACCCTAACCCTAAACCCTACTCAATCTGTGCAGCGTTCGGCTCCTGGAAGCCCGCCCGGCTTCTCTCACCACTGCGTCAGGTTCCTGAGTTCAGTTGTTGGCGTTTCATGAGTAAGATACCCAAATCCTTAATTGGCCCTAAATGGTAGGGTTCTTACGATAGGTATCGCTAATTCATAAAAACTTCGATTTCACAAGTCGCATAGCAACCTCGTGTCTTCACTCTGAGATTGAGGGCATGACTGTCGACAGTTTGTCCATCAAGTTCAGACAGCCAAGCTTCAAAAGTTCATTCCTTAGCCCTCGCTGAACCAGGATCCTTACTATACACATGACTACTTAAATCATTCAAACTTTCACAATCCCCATCTTGCACGTAGTCTTTGATCGGCCATTTGCGCGCAAGCCGGCGAGCTGTTCAACTCCCTGTGCTCCGTTAGACCCTTACGATCGCGCCGAGCACAAATGCAGTATCTCGTCGTCTGCCTCGTGGCAGTGGTGCTGGTGGTGGGGCATATGCTTGCAGTTCTTGCATAGGCTGTGACGATGATCCACTGTGGCCATACCATTAGTACTGGTGTAACGGCCTCAAGGATCACATGTTATGCGTAAAGCACCAGCGTGGCCTTGGCAGCTGGACAAGCAAGACTTGTGCCAAAGAAAGCCGGCAAAGGCATCAAACTACTTACTTGTGCTTCGTGCCAGACATGACCTGAACTATGGACACCATTACCGCCGTCGCCAATAACATTTCGATTGCCATAATCGCCAGCACAGCTACAAAGCCCAGAGGTTGCAGCAGTCGTTCACTGTGTCCCTCTCCCCTGCTAGCACTAGCGTCAACATGCATCAACAGTCGTAGTCGCACTCGTAGTTGAAGCAGAAGTAGTTGTGGTAGTGGTAGTAGTAGTCGTCGTCGTCGCCGTCGTAGCAGTCGTTCTCATCGTCGTAGTCGCAGTCGCTCTAGCCGTGGAGTAGGAGTAAGTAGGATTAGTAGCCTGATTCAGCATCAGCAGCAGTGACAGCAGCACGGGCATCACAATCATGCTCATCAAGATGTTCTGGATTGGCCTGTTCGTCTTTGTGTCCTCGCTATAATTTATTGTTACTGACGGTCGATCTGACGATTGCATATCTGATCCGCGGGCGCGCTCCAAGACGGGATGGGTGCTTGAACTGAACAATCTGTTGACACACGCTGCGTGGCAAGGGATGACAGAAAGAGTCGCCAACCGGACCATGTTCAGAGGAGATTCACATGTCACCGAGGTGCGGTGGCCGCAAAACGCCATGGGCAGCTTCAAGGACGGGGCGGGGAAGTAACCGTTCTGATTTCTGCGCATCCAGCCTCGCATCAGAGCAATGCGAAGGACAAGCTGCTAGCGGCTGCAACAATCGGCGGCGTCGTTGCAGTAGGCCTGCCCTGGGTTGTCGAGAGACTCTCTACCCTAGATTGCATTCTTTTTGTGAAGATGGGGGAACCGTCACTAAGCCGAAGCCATGCTGCACCCTGAAGCCAACATGCGAGTTGGGACAAACGGCTCTTTTTGCTGCTTGCCCATGAAATGCACAAGTTCAAGTGAAATAGTACATTGTCCAGACCAGGGCTTGAAACGCAAGTCTCATTGCATAATTCGGGCGCCAGAGAACAGCAATGACCGGCATGTTGCTCCAAAGTTCCTTCCCGTGATGGTCGCGTGGCCGGGCAACGGATCCGAATCAGCCGAGCTGTCCAATTACTACAGTACTCATGTCTTTTTTCAGCTAGATGCCTGTGATTGCCGATTGCAGGCATGGTCTTCAGTTCCAATCCAATGCTGAAGGCAAAGGCCATCGACCTAACGTTCCTCGGCTCAGAACCCTTGGAGCAGTCCTGCGGCGCCTCTGTTGCTGGGAAGATGAAAATTGCCCAGTCGGCAATGGCCGTGGTAAGTGTTCGCCGAAAGTGTAGTGCGCCCGCTGTGCATGTAAGGGTGACTGGAGTGTTTGGCATGTTCGGTGGTGGCCTGCCCTGGTGCTGGCAATGACTTGTTCTGGTTTGTGTTTGTGCTCAGTGCTGGCCGTGGTAGTTTGTTGCGCACACCGCGAGAAAATGTGCGACTGCTGTCACGACCTGATGTTCAGGGTGACTAGCAGTGTCTGCTGCACCGCATGTTCTGAAGTGTTCTGCATTAGGCGCTATTCCCGCCATTTGCATGTCGAGTTGGGGAGAGGATCAATTAACCGGTTTAGCAAGACATTGAGCTGAGTAGTGACGTGGACCTTTCTTCAAAGTCTCAGTGGCAAGGAAGCATGTTTGAAAAGCTGGACTTATGGCGCGCTGAGGAATTTCATGCGCGGGAACCCAATTCTTGGTGTGGCCTCTCAGCTGCACTAGGCATAAGCCAACCTTGATGCCCAGCCGACGCCCGAAGCCACACGAAAGCGTCTTAGCATCCTCCAATGCCACGGGGATGTAGTGTATGCTTGTTGCTAAGCTGGCCACGCTTGTACAATAACTTTGCAGATGCCGATTCGCGTTCAGAGGCAAAACGCAGAAGCTCCGGCTTTCGCGGTGCTTTTGTGCTTGACCATCTTACCGGCAGTCATAGGACTTTGTTAAGACTTCTCGTCTGTGATGCTCGATCAGAAGGCTTGGGTTCCGAAACTTTAGACGCTGCGGGATTCGGGCGACGAATGACATCTGCTGCTCGCTCACTGCAACTCTTGTTGGAGGTTGTCGGCCTTGGCGGGGACTCGACCTTGCAGTCGAACATTAAGTTTGTGCATGCTGGAGGCTGACATACCTCCAAGGCACACATCTGTAAGGAACGACAAGATGCAACGTGGCTCAGGGATTGGCTTCCAGAGTTGCAGAAGCTGTGAACCGATACGCCGCAGTGCCGAGGTCCTGCACTCAGCTTTCTCAACAGTCCAGAGCTTAGCTGCGCACCCTCCTTTTGACCGAGGTTGGGGTATAGGTTCCGTTTGAAAATGGGGGTTCGGGAGAAAGCATTGCGCATCATCGAGCTTGTAGCAAGAGTCACAGTCACCAATCGACGCAGCCCGCCCACAAAAAGTCTGATCATGCCCCGCGTCCCGGTGCAATATGGAGCCGGCTGTCCTGCAAAAATGTAAGTTTCGGTTCCGTTCGGTTCCGTTAGCCTGCCTGCCGCGTCCGAGGCTATCACTGTGTCAGGCATCCCCTTCTCTCTGGTGGACCTTGGTGCTGCCTGGGTCTACGGCTTCCGGGCGGCCATGTGCCGCTTGCCTTCCATGAAGTGGGCATGAGCAAATGCATGGCAGCTCCGAATCCTCTGGACATGCACTGCCTTGCAACGGTTCACACCATTACAACTGTTGGGTTTAGGGTTTAGGGGTTTGGGTTGGCACTTTGCTTGCAGAGATCGTTCGATCTTGATGTGGTGCTTACTTGAGATCGGATTGTTACGTGAGGCCGACTTATTCCCCATCGCTCCGCTGTTTTGAGACTGCTGTGGACGTGGTCAGTTTCTGACAAACCCTAAACCCTAAACCCTAAACCCCTAAACCCCTAAACCCCTAAACCCCTAAACCCCTAAACCCTAAACCCTAAGATTCTTCGGGAGACTACGGGCTTTGTGGGGTCCGGAGCTGCAAATTTCAGGAAAGGCTCGGCTCTCCTCGGTGCAATTTTCACATCGACTCCCTAAGGTATGCTACTTTTTGCGAAGACGCCGCTGAGCTTCAGCCGGGGTCCAGTGAAGGCAACCTTCCTGTAGTTCTGGTAGTTCATGTGCGCTGCCAGACCTTCTCAGAGTCAGTGCGATAGACTGGACGAATTGCCACGCGGTCGGCCGGAAAGCTGGCACTGTAGCAGGTCGGTCGTAAAGCGGTATAGTCGCATAGACAAGGAAAGCATCTTCGAAGCCGAGCACAGGGAAGTGAAGACAAAGAGTTGTGTGGAGGCAGTACGTAGCGTGTCGTGTCAGTGCCGGGATCTTCCACAAAAGGCAATGCAAGGTTGGCCCTGCACTAGGTCAGATCCTCTTGGTCCTAGGTTTCGGAGCTAAGTGGCTGAAGGGAGACGGAGGCTAGGATGCGCATAATCGCGGAATATTCTGGGTTATTTATTATCCGTGATGCTAGCATCTACCAGTTCTCAGCTCTACCACAACAACCACGACGGCAGCGACGATGACCACTCCTCATGCTGCGTTTTTGAATCATCCTCCTGCTGCGAGTACTGTTGCTTCTGCTGCTGCTGCGAGCCGGCGCACGTGCTAGGCGTGCCAAATCGTGCCAAGCTTCCCCACACCTTTAGCATGCGGACAGCCGGAACAGGCAACCCGAAAGCCCAGAGACCGACCCAAGCTGCAAGGTCAGAGTCCTAGCTAGGCCAGCCAAGCAAGCCAAATACAAAGCAGCGCGCCTGTGCTGAGTGGGGTTGGGCACACGTTGAATAATGAGAGTTTGGTAGGTCATCTGAACGGCTGCAGGCAGTTTGAGTGAGCCATAGTGAGGTGCCTTCCAAGGACTAAAAAAATGCCGTGCTGTTGCCTTGCGCTTCTTTGCACTTTGTACTGCGCTCCTTGCTAACAAATGCATTCGATGAAACGAGAAGCTGATCAAGTATTTCTGGAGCTACTTTGTCCTTGGTCGCAGAAGTAATGGATCCTGCCAAGTGAGTCTTCGGACATGAATGGGGGGCCAAAAGCTCTCCGAACTCCTGGTGACCTGGTGTGCACACCTTGTTCTTCCTAACCTCGTCTTCGGACCTTGCTGAATTTATCCGAGTGTAAGCGTCAAAGACAGCTTCAGGCCCCCAAACCTTGAACCCTACCTAACCCTGTCCAACCTAGACTCATTCCGACACGAACAGCCGCATCCAGCAGCCACCAAAGCACGAAGTTCAAGAGCCTGAACCCCAAACCAGAAACCCCGAAACCTCGTAGACCCGCTGTGTTATTAGCCCTGAGGTACCGCTATTTTAGACTGCACCGCCAAAGAAAGTCGAAAGCCAAGGCTCGGAAGCATCCTTTGCTTCCTTGTGGCGCGGAGCGTGCTGCCTGCGGCCCGACGCTCCTCCTGACACGGCCGGCTCAATGACGGTAGACTCATAAAATATACCAGTTCATGGTACTAGTAACACTACGTACTAGTTAGGTGTGATCATCCGCCCTCCAATTAAACTTGGTTTGGGTGTGGGAATACTTACGGGCTCTGGGGTCTTGCAATTGGAGTGTGGGTGGCGGCCTGCGGAGGAGCGGGGGGGGAGCGTGAAGATTCCTGATGCACGAGTTTGTGCTCTCCAGCTGGTGTTGAGACTCTGGGCATCGATTCCACCTCGCTTGTGCCTTTGGGATTGGGCACCCGCACGGAAAGAAGAAGAAGAAGAAGACTCATTCTGCAGGTGCGCGCAGATTCTTGACATGACTGTTAAAGTCCGGGTTTGTGCCGCCCTTGGCCTGCAAGGAAAAGCCAGCGTTCTGTCGCATCCAACGGTGGCTCGCGTCGACCGAATACTAGCCAGCAGCCCGATCTACTACGGGAGACTTGGGTTGCCTCTGGACTTGGGGAAACGTTTCGGATGCCACAGCCGGCTTTGGGGGCCAGCGGAATGCGAGACTGCAAGATCTGCGTGGAGTTTGTAGATTGTGGTTCGCCACCCTGCTGACGAGGACACTCTTCCGGCTGGCTTTGCTTCCTACATTCGTGCCACTTGACACCGCAAGCTTTCGGTGCTACCTGGGTATCTTCAGATGTATCCTGCTAACCGAACGCAAGGCAGCTACGCAGCCTGCAATCCGCAATGAACTTCGCACGCCATGCACACCACCAGAGCCACTAAGGAAGAATTACGGCCTGGCCCTCTTGAACATTAGGCGGGCTCGCTTTCCGCATGGCCGTTGTTCTACCTCGAGATTCCTAGGTGTGAGGAGTCTTCATCAACTGCCACCCTCGTTCGCAAGGGTTGCGCGGGGGGTTGGCTGCCCAAGAGACTCTTCCTGTAACCAGCATTGAAGCAGTCTCAGCATAGCGGGGTGCCACATTCTCAGTCTCATAGCATCAATGCTGTGATGTGGTCAGGTTTCCTCATTATCTGACTTGCCGCTCTTCTGCACAATGGACATGTGCTGGCGTGTTTGGTGATTTTGGATTACGCCGCACCGCCTCGTTCGTACATTTCACAGGTATAGGTACAGAGTGCTAAGTTAGCTAACAGGCCATGGGTGTTGGACATGTGCGCGCTGGATGGTATGAGATCCTCAGGAGGAAGTCCTTTGCCATTAGTATGGTGGGTTTTGCAAGACTCGCACACTCTGTTCCACAAGGTTTCGGAGCATCAACAACAGAAACACCTAACCCAGAAACCCCAAAGCCCCTAAACCCTATAAACTCGGACACTTATTGCCATGCCTGCATTTGCGAGTGTGTGAGTTGAAAATCTATAAGCCTTAGAAGACGCGAAATGCGTTTAAGAGGATCCATAGAGTCATAGAGGAGCTCCAATGCACAGAGGCTGCTTGCTTGGGTTTAGGGTTTAGGGTTTAGGGTTTAGGAACTCCAATGCACAGAGGCTGCTTGCTTGGCTCTTGCCTCGGCGTGCCGGCGCAGGCCTACCTGGGCTCTCAGCTGCCTGGCTAAGTTTGGGGAAAGCTCGGGCCTCCTTTTTTCATCAAGTCCGGTTTCAATACAGGGGTTTAGGTTAACCCTAAGCCCTAAAGCCCTAAACCCTAAACTCCAAAACCCTAAACCCTAAAACCCTAAAGCCCTAAACCCTAAACCGCCTGTCGGCTCTCTGACAGCGAACATGCAGTCGGAAAAAAGTGTCAGAAAAAATTTAAACCCTAAAACCCTAAACCTTAAACCTTAAACCCTAAACCCCTAAACCCTTAAACCCTAAACCCTAAATCCTTAAACCCTAAAACCCTAAACGCTAAACCCTAAACCCCTAAACACTAAAGCCCTAAACCCTAAACCCTAAAGCCCTAACCCTAAAGCCCTAAACCCTAAACCCTAAACCCCTAAACCCTAAACCCTAAACCCCAAACCCCCTAAACCCCAAACCCTAAAAACCTAAACCCTAAACCCCTAAACCCTAAAGCCCTAAAGCCCAAACCCTAAAAGCCTAAAGCCCTAAAACCCGAAGGGCAGATCTGGAGCGCTCCTCGGAAACCCACCGGAGAACAGAGGGCAGCTGAAGCGAGCAGAGGGGAAGCGGAGCCTCCCTTCTTAGCCTGGACTCCCTGAACCTGAGGGTTGAGGGTTTATAGGGTTTATTTAGGGTTTAGGGATGTTCAGGATTTAGGGTTTTAGGGTTTAGGGTTTTAGGGTGGACGAGCGGCTAACTACCAGGCGCTCTTGCTTGCAAGCCTGCAGCAAAAGGGTTTTAGGGTTTAGGGTTTGGCTTAGGGTATAGAGGGTTTAGGGTGTTAGGGTTTAGGGTTTGGTTTAGTGTATATAGGTTTTAGGGTTTAGGGTTTAGGGTTTAGAGTCACACCGCATATCCCAAACGAACCTGCGCAACAGACTTTCGGCAAGGCTCGGGGACATCTACCTGGGCCTCAGGGAAGCCGAGTCCGTCGACCCCATGATTCTTTGGGGAGGTCTCGATGGGGATTCCGAAATGCAAGGGTCCCTTATCTTGGGGCTGTGATAGTGATGGATCCTGCTACTGTATCGCAGGCGGGGTCCCATATTTCGTGGAAGAACTCAGCCACGCATTTGAGGTGCAGGAACAGGCAGTAAGGCGATATCGTGGTCCGAGTGGTAAGTGCTAGTATTCGATAGTGTTCTCTCATATGTTCGCAGCCCATGTTCAGGCCCCTGCAGTAAGCTTTCCGAAAGAAAGCGCTTTAGCTTTTGCATTGAATCCGCAACCAGCTGACCAGCGCATGCTGTTTAGGGCTTGCGGGTTTTGAGGGTTTAAGCTACAAGGGTTCAAACTTAGGGCCGGGTTTTGGCACTAGTTTCGTAAATTTCTTTATTGACCCAGGCATCGCTCCAGTTCTGTTCCTAGTGATTCTGATGCCGACGATCGCCAAAGTCCTGCTCGGACACATGGCTGACCGAACGTATCGCTCCGAGCTGCATGAGACCTCCCACACCCTCGTCCTGAACGCATGCGCCTTTGCTCTGTCTCTGCCTAGCCTGCGGTCCTAGTTCAGAGTCTCACACTTAGACTTAGGATCCCGCATCACTGTGTGCAACTCTTCATTCTGATTGTTCGCACGTGAAGCCAAGGAAAAGATGAGGAGCCTGAAGCGAGCGCAAAGAAGGCAGAGTAGGTGCCTGCCTAGTCTATTTGGGCGAAGGCCCAGACGAAGCTCGAAGGCACCAGTATGTGCGGAACGTTTCACGTTTGACCAGTGTCACTAGAATAAAAAAGGCGTACTGCCATTCATGCATGTTTTGTCTTTCAGTATTGCGAGCTATCTTGGGAACAGTTGCCACTTCTGGGCTTTAACCTTCGAGGCAGCAGAAGCAGGACTATACTGGGGCAAAGTATCAACAGCCCAGTCACATGTAAGCCTTACAGGCTAGTACCTTGGGAAGTGTGTCCCAGTGGTTGAAGCGAACCAGTTCCACTTGTTGTCATCATAGTCATTTTAAGTGTTCACTAGCTCTCGACTGCTCATTGCTGTTGTCGTTTATTCTATACAGTACATTGTTTTCCTATAGTTGGTTCGTTTGAGACAATGATGCACTCGTTGTTCACCGTGAATTCGCGCGGTCGATGGTTAGAAGTTGTGACTTTTGTGTTTCATGATCCGGACGTTTGCATGCGTCAAAGAAGCTGGCATGCGTATCTTCAGAGTCGCAGAAAGGGGTGAATAACCAGTTGGCGAGAGGCAACACCAGCGATCCAGAGGTTTTTTCTTGCTGAGCCGGTATTCTCGCAGCCACTACTGCTCTGCGGCGCCAAAGTGGCCGCGGCCATTTCAGTTCCTAGAAACATGCACAGCAAGTGTAGCGAAAGGGCCAGCACACCCCTGACACCCCGGCATAGGCTGGAAAGCAAGTCGCATCTTGAAACTTGCAGCCCACAGATCATGACCAGTATGGCCACATGCCCGACGTGGTCTCGAACAGCCTGAGCTGAAACCGTTGGTGCTCCTCAACGCCAAGGCTTTCAACAAGCCCTGGTCGATATTGAACCGGGAAGCTGGTTGCAGGTCCCAAAACCTTGCATTGAATTCGGCCCTAATTAGCGGGCGAAGCCAATCCAACGATGGCTACCGCTGTCTACGTCGTTTCGGGTGGCAGTGGTTGCATTCCAGTGGGGATAACAGACTAAGCTTCCGAAACGCTTACACAAGATCATGAGTGATTGTGGGCACAAGATGACGGTGGGGTCTTAAAGGGCCAGGAACGACGAAAGGAGGCAGCAAGGTCGATTGAAGGCAAGGTTTGATGCGTCGTGCTGATTTCTAGATCAAGTCTCCTCGGGGCTGGGAACAGCTTTGCTCCCAGGTGCTGGTGGAGTCGGTTCCTGCGTGAATGGTACCTTCGTCGCATTTCATGCGTCGAAGAAGACAGCATGTGGGAATGCCTGTGCATTGAAGGATTTCTCAGTCACTTGCTGTCGCGTTTGCCGACCAAGGTGTCTACGTATGCGTCGGTGTTTTGAACGGCAAGCCAAAATACCAACTGCAGGCATGTTGGAACAGAATTGGGTGACATGTTGCGTGATGTTGCATGCCAGCTGCCGTCACGAGAGCCAAGGGGGCGCGGAGTGTAGTCAGTGTATAAGTATAGTCATTATGCAGCCCGGCAAAGCCTGCTTCTGATCAGAACGGCCGCGCCATTCTCTACTTCCAAGATCTTTGGAAAATCAACTATCGTGACGACGAGCCCGGATGCAGATAAAGAGCGGGCCATTGCGGTACTGACTTCAGGTTTTTTTTTTCCGAAGGCAAGAGCTGCGGGTTAAAATCCTTGTCAGTCCTAGCTTTGGCAACCAAGGAGTCAGGTTGGTACTATGCCCACCCAGACGACAAGTCCGAGACACCCCCCTCAGGGGAATGGACCACGGAAGGCTCAACCGCTCATGAGACGGGTTCAGAGTTTTGAAAAGAGATTGGGCGCACTGCTCCCGATACTTGCACTCGGCTAAACTCTCTTTGATGGGCCAGAAGGATTTCGAGTGGCATTGCAGGAAGCGCAGAGGCTTGCGATGTCAGAGAGCAAAACTTCAAGATTTGATGCAAAAACCCAACCCGAAGTCCAAAACCCAAATAATCTCTTTGCAACTTTGTGTTCGGAAAGGTGGCAGAGCGAAAGGCCTTGCAAGAATGATTGCCAACACTATTCCTGCTCGGGCTTTATTATAGTTGATGATCTACCCCAAACCCCCGAAAAAGATGATGAAGGACCCTATATAAACCACTTTCGCTGTCGCTTTCGCGGACTCTGCTTTTCATCGCGAACTGGCAGGCTACTTCTTGGGCAACGCCGAGCCCCCGCCCTCCGTGACGGTCGAACTGTTGACGCAGGCCCGAAGGGAGAATTTGGGATTCGGGACGTGGCCTCAGGATAGACGTCAGGAATTTCGGAAGTAACGCGATGCGTCAAGGTCTCAGACTTCCAGACTCTACACCTTTGTCTCAAGTCGCTGTAAGCCCGATACACAACATGCACACGTGGCAGAGGAAATCTGGGTCTCCGGCGCCGGCTGCGTTGGCTGCACCGTCAACGGTCTGTACACCCGGATCGACTCATTGAATGGACGGCCGAAGTACCAGCAGGTGCGATCACTCAAAACTTAGCTTGAAAGGGGTTTGAGCCCAAAGCATGGACCCGGGGCATCCTGTGACTTCGGCCACAGGTCGACGTGGCCTTGAGGCTATTCCAATACCGGAACAACAAGCCAAAACTAAGTTGCAACTTCTGCGATGGGTGTTTTGGACTGCGGGTTTCTGGGAACCCTGAACTCACACCCTAGACCGACGTCAGGTGAATGGCCGCGCCATTGTGTACTTCAACGAGCACTGGAAGATCAATTACCGCGATGACGCCGGGCCGAGTCACAAGCAGTTCGGGTACTAAAAATTTGACCTCTCAGGAGGTTGAGGTTTGGGCGCAGGGTTTGGTGGGGCCTGGATAGATGTGTTTAGGCCCCTTTCCTGGATCGTATCAACGGTGAGAGGAAGATGAAAAGGGCTCCTTCTTGCCGTTGTTGGAATAGGATGCCACGCTGAAGAGCTGGACCCAAAGCACCTAACCTAGAGAAGGAAGCAAGTGCAGCGCAAGCGTCGAAATTGCTCAGGATGTGTCAGGCTGGTATTATCAGCATCCAGATACGACGTCCGAGACGCCGCCTAGTGGCCACCTGTCGTCATTCATAGGCCCCTACCAATGAATTCTTATCGGAACCTTCACAGGCTTTTCCGGAGACCGCGGTTTTGCTACGGCAACGTGCTGCCTTGGTTCGGGGTGCAGTTAGAGGCGCCATGGGGATTCAGGAGTCCTGTCGACAGACGATAAGCAAGTTATAGTATACCATAGTCAAAAGCGGAAACAGTTTCAGAGATTATACTGTATAACATATTCGAGCCTACCCTCGAATGTCGGAGTATGTTTGCGGCATTATACTTTAATATGGTAGGCGATAACATATTATGGCATAATTTACGCTCGGGTCCAGGCAAATGTGTGTTGACTCCCACGAACTGCCAAGGCTACTGGACGACTGAGGGCTACTTCTTCGATGACGCTGACCCCCCACCGGTGGTCGCCAGCATCACGCTTGAGGCCAGCTTTTTCGAGGGAGTTGCTGACAAAGATGCTTCGGATCGCACAGGCTCAAGCCGTCAAGTCTTTTGCGCACCTGGGGTCCCTGCGCTTCCGGGTTTTCTGTGTTTGAAAGCCGTGGCAAGACCGGCACTCTACTGAACCTCTGCCCGTAGCAAGACTGCAAGCTGAAGGACCGTCTAGGACTTCCAAAAATAAGCTCCGACATGGAAGGACGCGAGTCAACAAGACACCGTTCTCAGATGCGCGCGCCTCTCCGTGCGCGTGCGCCGTGGACCAGACTGGTGCTGGAATCAGCAAGACGGCGGAGCAGGCATCGCCGGCAAGAGTGGGATTGCTTGCAAGAGCTGATGCAGGAGGCCATGGTATCCCATGTCGTTTGCCTAAATTGCTTAGGAGGGTGTTGTGCTTACTTTGCGGCCGTTTGTCATTCAGAAAGCCTGCACCAGTTGACTTGACAGCTCCACACAAGGACAGAAAACGTTCTGCAAACAAGGATAATATTCAAATTCCGGGAAGCGTGTAGTGCCACAAGAAAAGCCTGGCACTCACTTCGGATGCACCTGGCCTATAAACCTTCTGCCGTAACCCTGCACATACAGGTCATTTCGGGCTGACGATTGAGCGATTGAGCGCAACACCTGGCTGGGTCGGCGTCTTGTGGGACACAGGCCTGGGTGGCTAAGGCTTCGGGTTAGTCCTGTCAGAGGCAACAGCACTGCAGAAAGGTTCATGCCCTGCTAAACAAGTCAGACGAAAGCTCGAGAGTCGTCAGCGAAGAAAATGAATGCAGCGCATGTGTTCTGAGCATACGGGGCTTCACGGATTGTGGCTGGAGACTTAAGTCTTCGAGTTCTGGGAGTTGCAGGAAGTTGCAGGGCTGTGAGGCCAAGACAGTGATGTATGAAACAAGTGGATGGTGGCGAAGGCGAGTTATGGACGCAATAGCAATAGCCCGTGTTGGTTGGCCTGAGATTTCAACGCCCCTTTGGAGGTGATGAAAACAACTATCGAGTTGGCCATGACGACCTCCACGACTTGGACTTGGTCACATCCTTCCGGATATCGGGAGCTGGTGGCATCTGCGAGTTCATGAACGGTGACTACGTGCAGTTTGACACCTTCAATGACAGACCGCGATATCGCCAGCAGCTCCTTCATCACAGCCTGACCTCTTGCATTCTAACGTAGCGAAATACGTTCGAAAGAGCTGTAAGATGAATTCAGCGCTTTATGGTATGTGCTAAGTTGTCTGGGTGTGACCATCGGCCTTCTCCGTTGTCGGATCTGCTTGTGGTAGTCGCGCTCGTCATCGAAAGAGCCGGCCTGATTCCTGCTGGTTTCTAACTCAAACCTGCGAAGTCGCTTTGGTGGCAGCAGCGGGAGTAGGTTTGGAAGCAGAAGTAGACCCTAAACCCTAAACCCCTAAACCATCCTAAACCCTAAACCCTAAGCTAGCAGGCATGGCGGGGATGCCATCTTATTCTTTGAGGAGAACTGGAAGCTGGGATCTCGGCTCGAGGCTTGGCCGGAGGCAAGGTTTTGATCTTCGAGCCCTGGGCCTCGGAATCCAGTTGCAAAAAACGGCTTCGAGGTTTGAAGCTGCAGATTCCTATTCAACTTTAGGGTTTAGGGTTTATGGATTCCTATTCTGCTAGGGCTGCTTGCTCCAACTCCGGGCGAAGTGGAAAGCCTGTTGCAAAAAGGGATTCCTATTCAACTCGATAGATGTGGGAGCCTGTGCCGGTTAGCACAGGAAGCGGGGTGGTACTACTGGCACCCCAACGTCTCCTCAAAGACGCCACCAACCGGTCCTTGGTCGATGGCCTCCTACTCCTCGACGCTTGCCTGACACCGGGGGCTTCGCCAAGTTCAGGGTTCGTATAAGGGCTCCCTTTCTGCATTGCGTCGATTTGGTTTTGTTGCGTTGCGAATCTTCCCGACCGGTTTTTGTGATCCTAAAGCCTCATGGAGGTCGCCAAGCCGGGGTAACCTGAAGACATCAGAACCCACCCTTAAATCAGGCGCATCAACGTGCGACTCACGGCAGGGGTTAATGTCGAGAGATTCGTGTCCGTGACCTTCTCCACGGGGTGACGTGTTTTGGGCTGTTGCCCGGACTTTGACCTTTTGAATCCAGACATGTGTAATCTACATCTGGAATATTCACGAACAGGTAAAGGTCCGGCTCCAGGTTGTTTGAGCTGAACTTCCTGCCCCAAAAAGTTCACAGTGAGGGCGGCCACCAGTATTGGAGCCCAAGCACTTTGTGCCCCTGCAGCTGTGAGAACAGAACCATGCAGATTCCCGCGACAAGTTCCGAGTCTTCGCAGCCGAGTAGGTGGTCTTCATCCATTACGGTTGTTTCTAGAAATCAAGAGGGAGAGGGAGCGAGAGCGAGAGAGGGAGGAAACCTTTCCTTGTTGGGGCCAGGGAACTCTGCAAGGGTTATAATCACCCTGCAGCGCAAAAGCTTTCCGCGTCTTCTTCAGGTCTCCAGAGAACGATTTTAGCCCAGCACCCTCGGTCTCCGAAATCCACGAAGTGGTCGAGACGGTTGGCAGCGAAGTCCGTTCAGGTGGGGCAACTCAAAATTGATTTCGTGGGCGGGGGGGGGCTTACTTAGTAAGAAAAAGGTGGTTTCGGTGACATGGCGTGTGCCAGGTACGACACATTTATTGGTTGGAGCTTGAGGGTTGAAGAGGTCGTGATTAGGTTTTTAGGGCCTCGATGCTTCAGTTGTTAGAGTCATGCCCCATCTGCGCCATGTGGGCGACTGGAAAGGGCCCCAAGTGGGAAGTCGAGACTCAACATCTCAGGCCGATGCATGCAATGTACCATCAACTTTCATGCTTCGCTTCATTCAAGCAGGTAGTTTGTAGGTCTTGCGGCTGGTTTGGGGCCCGTTGTGGCTTAGTTGGGGCTTGGTTGGCTCGTCATCAGCGTGATGAGTCGAGGGCAGAGAACTACTTGTTTGTAATCTTGAGACTGTGCGTTTGAGGCCTTAGACTCTTCGAACAAGGCACAAAGTCAGTATGGGCCCACAGGCAAGCACAGCGATACTGCGGACAACCAGATCTGCGGCTATGACGAAGACTGGGAGAATCCGGAGGAGTGTGCTTGCCCGCTTGCACGATGTCATCCTTGCTGCTTTTTGTTGAGGCGGTTCTATGGTTTGGCCCACAACGGTGTTGTGTGCCATCAGATGTCGTGTCCCAGCACCACACGACACCAAGAAATCCCCCCCTGCAAGAAGATCAACTCGATCCTGATACCCATCGAAAGAGTCTGCCTTTTGTAATGCCTGACTCTTCTGGATTGATTTTGCCGTGCACTTACTCGCACCCAGGAGGCACAGAAGGCCAAGTGTTCCATTTGCCTTTGCGTCGCCCGCGATGCTCTCTGCCATGGGTGGCTGGGACGAAACAACGATGTCCGAGCGGGTCGCGGGCTCTTGAAGTTCGCAGTGTTTGCAATCTACGCCACTGTTCCCTACTATCCTTTCAAGAAGGCCAGTCGTCCTTTTAGGTTAAAGTCAGGAGAAGCTGTCGGTTTCCACAAAGACCTTGAAAGCACCTCCTTCTGACTTGATGCAAGATTTTCAAGAACCCTTCCAGAGCCCAGGTGCGGAGAGTTGTTCTGCGAAGCCTGCTGGATCAAGTGCCAGGCAAACCCTGACTCCTGCGTCATTGCCTCTTCTAGCTCAGCACTGCAACTGCTGCTATATTCTCATCATACTCCTGTTGCTGCTATGGGTATGGGTGTTCGTATGGCCAAGCTTGTGGCAACGTGTGCCCCTCCAGGCAGAAGACGAGAAGTGCCCAGTGTGTCGGCAAGACGGCAGCACAAATGTGGCGCCTGCTTATGCAAATCGCAGAGTGGCTCGACGGCTTCAGCGCCGTGCAACTTGCCCACTTGTCCTCTGCGGGTTCGAGTCTGTGGTAGTGCAATGCATGAGGCGCTTGGCTCCAGCCCCATTTGTAAACTGCATCATCGGTACGGCAAGTCTTCTCCCAACGGTTTCGGGTTTCGGAGTTTAGGTCACTCGTCGTGCCCAGCCAGAAAATACAGCTTCATCAGTCATCGCACAGTCTTTGGTTCCTGAATTGCCCTACATTATTTACGTAAAAATTGCGAGAATGACCTTGTCGAGGCTATACTCAACCTCATGATGCGCTGCCCCAACAAGTGCGGGCAGTGTTTCAGCTTGCGCGAGAAGGAGCTTCTGGGGAGTTTCCGAAAATTAGGGTACCCTATTTTGGGGTCCTTATAATAGGGATCCTACTATTTAGGGTATTATATTGGGGTCCCCTATTTTCGGAAACCCCTCTGGTTGTTCGACCTGTTTGGGTTTGCAAGCTTGTGACACTTAACTTAACTTTCACCGATACTTTCAAGGACTGTCTTCCCAGATTCTTGTAGGTACCGAATTCGCTTTGCCGAGCATTAGGCTAAGAGTGAGCCCGCTTGAACTGATGAGACATTCGACTGTCTAGCTCTTCGCCCTCTCATGTCTAGGACAGTCACCTCAACGAGTGTGCACCCCGCGCTGCGCGGCAGCTTGCCCCGGTGATTTGCGAGCGGCTGGGCTCAACTGAGACGGAACACTGAATTTGCCGCATGTAGGTTCAGGGTACATATCGCGAAGCATTGGGTCGGATCAAGTGCTGTTGCAGGCGTTCGTCAAGCTAGCCTACAGATTCGCCGGTCTGACCCGCGCCTTACGCAAATTTCCCTGTGCAAATCATGCTTTCGTGACCACAACGCAAGCCTTGTCGCGCTAGCTCAGTTGTAGGCTTTGCGGCGACGCAGTGCCTGCTGACGGTTTAGAGCGTCATATGGAAGCCAACCCTGGCAAACACATGGCGGCAGCTGGACTGCATTTGAGAGAGAGAGAGAGAGGAAGACAGATTGAGAGACAGAAAGAGAGAGAGACGGAGAGACCTACGATCACAGTCCCTCCAACAGACCCATAACATATGGGATGCCCAGTGGAGGAAGAAGACCTACGATCCAGAACGGTCAGACAAGACACTTTGACGTCAGAATCCCAAGCCAAGCTTCGACAAGTCTTTTGCCACATTGATGCAATGTCCAAAGCTTTGCCTGTCGCTGGGCCCGGGACTTTGGTCTGGCAGAGCTGCAGGATATGTGGGTGGTTGTCAAAATTATGGTCCCTTTTTGGGTCCTTATTATAATACGGCACCTATTCTTTAGGGTACCCCAAAAAGGGACCATAATTTTGACAACGACCCATGTATCCGATTCCATGGCTTTGGCTGGAGACGGCTCTGTTGCCAAGATTGCGTATGATAACCCGAGTGCTGGAACAGTGTTGCGGAATGTGTTGATGTATGAGAAGGGACAACGAAGGGGCACCCTGTAAGCTACATTAACAAGGCCTTCTGGTTTGTCTCATAAATATCCTGCAAACCCTGCTTCAAAAGCAACACGACCTAAACCCGAAACCCTCAGCCCCAAGCCGCCAGCGTAAGGCTTTTGTCCAAATATGCCGCAGGCCCTGCTCCTGGAGGTGAGCAAGCTGAGACGCGAACTCCGGGAGCTCAAAGACAGAGAGACCAAGATGTCTCAAGCATAGGGTCTTACGCTGGCTCTTGAAGCCCTAGTTCAGCTGTTCAGGGTTTAGGGTTAAGGGCCTAGGCCCATGGAGAGCCAGTTCCCAGAAGGTTGCTGTCCCGGACGATGGCCCCTGGAGCTTTTAGTGTAGTGCAGCTTCGGACACACGTTCGAAGAAGGCGTGTTCAGATCTCGTCTGATAGAATGCTGCTGTCCCCCTGCCTGCAGGTGGGATTTGGAAATTTGTGTCCACATTTGTGCCCACATGGGCTGAATTCAATTAGTTTCAGCCAGGCCAAATCGCTTTCTTTGATGTGTATGTTCTTCTACTTGTTCTCATCTGTATGTACGACGCTGCCTACAGTTCCCAAAAAAGAAGCAGCGATACGCAGCCGAGGCATTGTCTTACCTAGGCTGCCATTCAGTCTGTTTCAGACTCGAGGCTCAACGGACAAAGCCATTGTTACTGCAGACTCAGCGCACCGGTTACCATCTTCGCCGAACCGAGAAGGCCTTCAGAAGTTTGATGTTTTTTGCTTTGGAGTTGCTAAAAGTTTGTCTTCATTCTGGCATAACACGGCGCTTGGGGGTTGAGCTACTGCTTTCCTGGATGGCTCGGCTTGAGAAACTTCACCCACGATAACGACATCACGAGCCCCCAACCTTCCTGCACCTTGATGACTTCCGTTGTTGACAGAAGATAGCATTCGTGCATGGCTTGGGGCTTTGTGTTCAGGGACAAAGCAGACAGCGGCGGAGCTTGTGTACGGGACAGGAGCACAGTAATAGAAGCCATGAGACGTGATGCCCGCTGTGCCGGAGTCGACATGGCGATGCTCTGGGGGCAGGACCGTGCATAGATCAACGATCGCAGTGAGTCCTTGCCCACCAAGCACTCCAGACGTCACCCAGCACAGTTTGACATGTATGTCTCATGGGCCACAGTATCATTGGGTGTTTTTGTTTGAAAGCTTCCACACCAAATCATGGGTGCGACCGGGTGCAACCTCGTAACAAAACGAGGTCGTGCCCGGTAGCACATGGAGGCGACCGCGTGCGACCTCGTAAAAATTGAGGTCGCACCCGGTCGCACCCATCCTTGGCTTCGAAGGCATTTTGGGGGTTATGTCGTTTTCTACTAGGGGTCATGCACTTGGTGGGCTTTCTGTGGTCTTCCCGATTCCGCAACCCTCATCGAGCATCATTGGGTTTTTGTCTAAGTTCTTCCACAACAAATGATGGGTGCGAACTCGTATACACAGAGGTGAATTACCCGGTCGCACCTACCTACGCCTTCCATATATAGATAAAGATGGATAAATCAAGATGGGTGTCGCACCCGGTCGCACCCATCCTTCGGCGAAATCCGGAACGCGCTAAGTGCGTACCGAAATATATCTATATTGTAGGCGTTGCGATTTAACTTGCAACCCTGATATTGCTGCTTGTTGAACCATGGACGTTATGAACTTTACAGAGACTTCAAGATGAGAGTAATACTAACAGTAATAATGCGAGAATGCACCCTGAATTTTCTATATCTTTACATTTTCGATGTTATGAACTCAGGATATTATCTAATAAAAACGGTGTCGCGCTAGTCGCCTCCGAAATCTTTGTGCGCGCCGCCGAATGTTTCTTCGCGCCGCTGGCCCCTGTAACCTCGTCCTTTGGCGCGTTTCCTCTTGAAAGCCTCTTGCGTGTCTGTCTCGCGGTTCTAAACATTTCAGAAATTTTAGCATCGGGAGCACTTCATTCCAGGTACTCAAATTTTCGAACTTTTGGTAGCTTTAGGAAATCTCGCGGTATTACTAAAATTTCAGAATTTTGGTAGCTTTAGGGGGACATGCTCCCGGTAATAGAAGTTCCGAAATTTTTGGGACATGCTCTCCACTGCCGTGCATTCTGAATGCAGGTGTCTCTGTGTGCGTGTGTGTGTGTGTGTGTGTGTGTGTACGTGCGTCTCTCTGTGTGTCTGCGTGTGTGCGTGCGTGTGTCTCTGTCTGTGTGTGTCTCCGAGTGTGTGCGTGTGTGTGTGTCTGTGAGTGTGTTTGTTTGTGCGTTTGTCTGTGAGTCTCTCTGTGGGTCGGCGCGTTTCATGTGTCTGTGTGTTTTCTCTGTCTCTTTCTGTCTCTATCTATATCTTTGTCTGTGTCTCAGGTTGTATCTCTGCTTGTCTCTGTTTATCTGTAGCTGGCCATGGCCGTCTCTTCCGTTCTCTATCTGTATCTTTAATTTCATCTCGTTCTATATTTCTCTTTCTATTTTCATGATCTATATCTCTATATCGATTTGATAATTTATTTTTCGTTATTAATTTTTCTCGATCTCTTCATTATTGATTTCTATATATTCGAATTTGATTTGATTATTTATTTATTATGTTTTTTTTCTCGATCTCTATTTTATTAGATTTGAAATCTTTATATGGCTAGATTTATTTTATTTCTATTTATTGTATATAATTATTATATTTATTTATTTTGCTTGATCTATTTGTTTTAAAATCTCTGATAATTGGATTATTATTATTATCTAGAATAGAAGATCTCGAATATCTTTAGGAATTCATGATATAATTAGGATAATTTATATTTTTGGATGATATATATTCTTGAATTTCTAGAAAGTTTTATTTAGAAGTCGTTATTCGCGCTACTTAAATAATTTAATGATAAAAATAATGATTCGTGCCCAAGGAAGATAAAGATTATGGATCGTATTTAGGCTAAATAAATATTTGAATGATATGTTCGGGAATCGTGCTCAAAGTATATTTTAAAATAAAATTCTGGAAGGTAGTGTTGCTCGGCTCTTTCAAATAATTTTCAAATATAAATTATGAATGATACTTAAGAAAACCCCTAGAATTAGACCCCGGTAGGTGCTATTATACGACCCACTTAAATAATTTCTTAAGAATAATAATGGATCGTACCTAGGCTGAACCTTAAAATCCTAGGCTGCTGGCTACTTTTTATCGACCGTGATAATTTTAAAATAAAAATATCTGATCGGTTTCAAGCTAGATCCTAAAATCGTGCCATGTTGAATGCTTTTTATCGACCCTTACACGTAATTTTAAGATGGCAATATCTTATCGTTCCCAAGCTAAATCTTGAACTCGGACTCTGTTGGGGACCGTTATTCGACCCTCACAAGTAACTTGATGACCAAGAACTATGAATTCGTCACCAAGCTAAGGTCGCCGTAAATCGGACCTTGCTCGATGCCGTTGTCCGTCCGCTACAAGTAAGTGATAAATATAACGAACCGTGCCCAAGCTACACCCTCAAATTCAGGACTTAGTCTGGTCATTTTTAGGGTTAAAACTTTTAGGATCTAGATTGGGCACGAATGTCTTTATTATTAAATTATTCATAATCTTTCACATCAAATTACTTGTGAAGGCCGCGCAACGATGCTCACTAGGGTCCGACTTTGTCACCAAGTTTAATTTAAGCATGAATCATTTTCTTTTGACACATTTGGTAGTGGGTCGAATAATGGCCTCTACCGGGATCCGTTTTTTTGAGTTCAGGAATTTAAGTTTTTTGGCAGCATCGGACAGCGGCGCTGATATAGCTTGGGCACGATGGATAAATGGATGGATGGGGCGGCCCAGCCCAGCCCAGCCCAGCCCAACCCAGGCCCAGGCCCCCCAGGCCCAGGCCCAGGCCCAGGTCCAGGCCCAGGCCCAGGCCCAGGCCCAGGCCCAGGCCCAGGCCCCGGCCCCGGCCCCGGCCCGGGCCCGGGCCCAGGCCCAGGCCCAGGCCCAGGCACTGCGGCCAAAGGGAGCCTTCCCTGCTGCCTTCTCCGGGGACTTCCGGTTACTTGCCAGCAACAGTTCAAGGTCCCTGACGGGCCACCCCATGCAAGCAGCTGCGAACTGTCCTCGAACACTGTTCAAGCACCTCGCTTCCGGACTCGTTCCAAGGCCTGCACCACAGAAACGTAAACCATGCCAGTGCAACGCACAAAAAGCAATATGGGCAAAATTCAACGAGTGGCGAGTGGTCAGTGCTCAGTGGTGAGTGGCCAGTGGTCAGTGGCGAGTGGCGAGTGGTCAGTGGTCAGTGGTAAGTTACCAGTGGTCAGTGGTAAGTGGTCAGTGGTGACTGGCGAGTGGTAAGTTGCAAGTGGCGAGTGGTCAGTGCTTCGCGGCGAGTTGCAAGTGGTAAGTGGTCAGTGCTCGGTGGCGAGTGGTAAGTGGTCAGTGGCGAGTTGCAAGTGACGAGTGGTGAGTGCTCAGTGGTGAATGGCAAGTGGTCAGTGGTGAGTTGCAAGTCACGAGTGGTCAGTGGCGAGTGGTCAGTGGTGAGTGGCGAGGGGTGGTAAGTTGCAAGTGGCGAGTTGTGAGTGGTGAGTGGTAAGTGCTTGGTGGTGAGTGGTGGGTGGCGAGTGGTCAGTGCTTAGTGGTGAGTGGCGAGTGGTCAAAGGTGAGTGGTGAGTGGCGAGTTGCAAGTGGCAAGTGGTTTGTGGTCAGTGGCGAGTGGCAAGTTGCAAATGACAAGTGGCGAGTTAAGTATTTAACGAAAAAAGCCCCCGGAAGGGGCGCATGCATCAAACGAATTGATTAAACGCATTTGCGGGGACTGAGGGTTGGTGTTTCGCAAAATGAGCCAAAATTGTCCGAAGACTTTCTATAAGGCTGTCTAGCGTCTGCCTTCTACAATTTTGGGTCGTTAGCGCGGCTTACAGGGGACACTCTTGGGGCGAGGCATCCTGTAGCTGCTTGATGTCGCGAATTTCCATCAGAAGTCCACACTGGTGCCCCATGATCCACAGCTGCCGCACTTCGATTGCAACCAGCGCCTTTCGACCTTTGAGCTTCTTCGATGCATTCGTCAATTTATTACCGGTTGCGTCCAAAAAGCGCACCGTTCCCAGGTGGATTTCTAGTTTTATGGCCTGCCCCTTAGTGCACGTCTGCTTGATGCAGGACTGCAACATTGAATCCAATCTCTTGGCGAGGACTTGGGATGGAGCCTGCTTCTCATGGTCTTCCACGAGCTTTTGCATCTCGGGCGTGAGTTCCAGGCTCAGGGTCATTCGTTCGGAGGTTTGCTCGCCATAAGAGATCGGCTCGTAAACGATTTCGGCCCATTCGCTGGCCCATTCGTTGCTTTTCCAGCAGCAAAGAAGCTCCAAAGGCATAAATTTGCCGCCTTTTTTGTTTGTGAGCGTCTCACCAAGTCGGAGGTCCATTTTGAGAAATGGTTGGCTTCCAGGCATTCGGCGCTTTAGCTCTTTTCTTATAAGGCAAACAAAAAAATGAAATGCCCGAGATGGACCTGAATTGGAGAGAGGCGTTGCTTTGCAACCTCGGATCCGCCTGCTATTGGGGGGTTTTTTTTGCATTGCTGTGGCTCGCCTTGAATTCCCGTCATGGAAAGATACGACTTTGATACCGCGACGCCTGCTGGAGCTCTTCTCGGGAACGGGGTCCATAGGCAGAGCCTTCGAGGAGCTGGGCTGGGAGATCACCTCGCTTGACATCGACCCCAAAGCCAACCCAACGGTTTGCGCGGACATCTGCAGCTTGGAACCCCTGCCCAAGTTTGCCCCAAAGCACTTCGACATCATCTGGGCCTCACCGCCCTGCACCGACCGAGTACAGCAGGGCCTTGGCGCGCCGCCTGCGCAGGCTGGAGGAGGGCGACCGCACCGCCATGAGAGCCCTGGAGCTGATTCAAGAGCTGCGCCCATAGTATTGGTGCATCGAGAATCCCCAGACGGGCTTGTTGAAGCGCTGCCTTTTCATGGCCAACTTGCCTTGGAGCGTCGTGAATTACTGCAAGTACGGATATCTGGCACTACTTGCCTTAGACTCCCGAACACAAGCCTTGCAGCGTGCTCGACAAGTGCTCGCAAGCCCGGGAGAACGGCGGCAGGCTCGCTGCGCCGAAACTTTCAAAGGCAGCTGTACAGCATTCCGCCGGCGCTGTGCCGGGAGATCGCTTCGACGGTCAACGCGAGGGTAGTGATTTCGATTTAGCCTTGCCCTTCTTTTTTAGGGTATCGATTGTGTGTTGAAGCTGCTTGCAGACGCCCCAGAGCACCACGGAGAGCTTCTGATAGTCTAGGGCCAGCACATCCTGCCCGCCCACCGGCTTGCACGGGGTCTCTCCCAGCTTACTGGTGGCTTGCACGTCTTGCGCAATGAAGCCGATCTGGTCCGTGGCCCTCTCGATGCGGCCGTAGCACTTCGGCTCCAGCTGCTTTTCTGGCACGGGGCGGATGTTCGTCTTGAGGCGCTGGTCCGAGGCGTTCAGGTGCCCGTAGCCGAAGATCACCTCGCCGTTCAGAGACCCGCCGGTGTTGGGCTCGATGGCCAAATTGCCGTTCGTGTTGTTCATGCTTATGAATTGGAAGAGGCTGTTCAGCTGCACGCCCCGACCCGCCAGCACCCTCGGCCAGGCCGTTCTAGTTGTTGGCGTCCAACAGTAAAGAAGCCTCGCCCGTGGCCGCGGCATTCCGCACCAGCACGCCGACGCCGCCGGCGGGACCGCGATCTGTTCCAGCAGCGGGCTGAGCACCTGCACGCCGCTGGTGCCGCCCGACAAACTCAGGAACGGCAGCGAGGCCTCGGGTGCGAGGACTCCGTTGATGCGCAGGGTGTCGTCCACGAGCACTCCGTTGGTGCCGCCGTGGATCGTGAGCAGTGGTGCCGTGGGGTCGCTGCGCACCAGCGAGGCCTGCACCCGCAAATCGCTCTCGATCTCGTGGCCGTGATGGAGCTGCTGCTCGCAAAGGTTCCGGTGGCCGCCGTGGAGCCCACGAAGAACTGGGCGAACTCCCCGGAGCTGCAGGTCCGCGGCCGCGCTCTGGATCAGGGGCGTGTCCACGAAGCTGGTGGCCGTGAGGCTGTTGACCGTGAGGTTTGCCGTGGGATGCACACCGGGGCTGTTCTCCAGGTCCGTGACGGCCTCGCCCAGGGAGTTGAAGTTGGCGACGAGGGGGTAGCGGACGTCCGATTGGCTCCTGGACCAGCAGTCGCAGCTGAGTTGCAGGGTTGAGCCGTTGCCCAGGATGGGTTGGGCCGAGAGTGCTTTGAGGCTGGTGTTCGCCGCCACGAGGCCGCTGGCGTTGGCGGCTATGAGCGCTTCGGCCGCGGCCAAGTCGGAAGCCAGGGCGTAAGGCGGGAGGCCGGCGACTTGCGATTGCAGCGCCGCGATGGCGGCCGCGTTGTTGGCCACGCCCGTCGCGTTGCTCGAAATGGAGGCGGTGTTGGTCGCAGTATCGGTCAGGGGCGTGTAGGCCGTCAAGACCGTCGCTAGCTGCCCGGCGGAGATGCCGGAAGCCTCCATGGTGTTGCCGTCGTTGAGGATGTTGCCGGTGATGGAGCTTTCGAAAAGTGACATCTCGAGGACAATAGGTTTTCCTTTCAAGGACAGCGCTAGTCGAGGACCGATTATTCCTTTCGACGAACCGCGCTAATCGAGGACCGACACACCCGAGCTGGTAGCTCACCATGTGCACGTCGCACTCCTGCACCTTGTTGGCTTGGAGCCCCTTGAAGCTAAAGCGCGCCAGGTCGCCCGCCCTGGTGCTGTTGCCGCTGAGGGGCATGCGCGGCACCCGCTCCACCGCGTAAGCGGCGATGAAGGAGCTCCCCTCATACATGTTCTTGGTCAGGCGCATGTTGCGGAAGGTGGAGTCGTAGGTGCCAGCCATCACCTGCAGGAAGTGGTGGTGCTCCGCGAAGTCCTTTGCGGGGGAGAACACGAGGCTGCGGCCCGAGAGGAGCACTCGGTTGAAGCTTTCGACCGAGGGTGACCTGCGAGGCCAGCACCCGGACGTTTTGGATGCTGAAGTCCACGGAGCTGTTCTGGCGGGGGATGGTGTCAGCGGGGTCTGCAAACTCGATCTCCAGCACCAGGTTCAGTTGGGGCGGCAGCATCTTGCCGCAGCCCAGCAGCCCCACGAGGGTAGGCGCCATGAGCACCTCCTGGAAGTGCGACTCGGGCAGCGGCTGGGGAAAGCCGCCAACCTCGTTGATTTCGAAGCCCTCGTTGGCCTGGTTAACCCACCAATCGCGCAGCTTCAGCAGCGTGTACAGGTGCACCGTTCTGCCGTAGTTGTCGATGTCATCGGTCCGCTGGCCGTTGGCGAAGAGCTGGATCCTTTTGATCAGGCAGGCGGGATGCCCTGTGACGGGGTGGTAGTCGTTGGTGCCGTCGTTGTTCACGAAGCGGAAGGCCACCTTGATGCTCTCCGGATCGATGAAATCCGAGCCCGAGGTTAGGGGCACGCGAACCACTCGAGAGGTCGTGGGCGTGATGGTGCTCAAGGAGCTCGGGAAATATTGCGCATCCTTGCGCGAGATCACGTCGGACGCGTTGGATGTGCGCATCTTGCAGTCCAGGCTCTGCGACGGCGTTGGTGACCACCTCCATGCTGGATGAGTCTTGCTTTCTTAGCAACGCGTCGCCTGTTTCGTTCGTCGTCCTACGAGATCAGGCAAGCTCGGGCTCTCGGGCCAGGGCTTCCCGGCGAAGCTCGTTGAAGGAAGGCTCCGTTCTCGCCGGCCTTTGTGGCCTTGGTCGGCTGCTGGAATCGCTCCCGCTGCTCTGGGGCAAGGACCCGCCGCCCAGACCGAAGGTCCTCTGGATGGGCCGGGAGCTCACCTGAGGCCTGGGCTGGCTTTGCTGCTGGGCCTGGGGCGCGTCCTCCGAGTCGGCATCCATTCTGGACACCATGGGCTGCTGGACGCGCGGCTGCCTCACCGTGAGGCGTTCCTGAGGGTTGCCTTGTTGCAAGTTGTTGAGCGTCCTTATGTCAGGCCCCTGATACCCCGATGACGATTGGCCGGCGTCGCCTCCGTTGCCTCCCAACCTAAACCTAGCGCCTTCATTGGCGCCGCCCGCCGAGACTTAACGTTGCGGCCCCAAGCCCGCTCATCGCGGCCCCTCCCGCTCTGCCAACGTTGCGGGCTGCCGGAGCGCCGGCTCTTCCTCCTTCCACAGCTCCGCCTGCAAGGACCGCCAGCCCGCTGCCCCTGGGAGGCTCCGTTTGAGTGCCAGCCTCGGATCGAGCCGCCAAGGCGCTGCCAGCGCCCGCAGCCAGACCGATGGCAGCGGGAATCGCAACTTCGGGTGCCAATACCGCGCCAACGGTGCTTCCCAAGACTTCCAATGCCGCGGCGGCTTCGCCTGCTGCGGTTTCGGCCAGCAAGGGCGTGATTTCTGCGGTTTCTGCCGCCGCTTGTTCTACAGCAAACTGCTCGATGTCCTGGGCCGCAGCCCTTTGGACTTCTTGGGCGATGACGCGCTGTGCATTTGTGGGGCGGCCGAGGATCTGAGGGAACACCCGCCGCTCCACAGCGTTCGCCGCCCTAGTGGCATTCCTGAAGCCGAAGTCCCGCGCGGCTAGGCCCACTCCGCCGGCGCCGGAAGCGATGATGCTCGCGACTCCAGCAGCGGCGGCCTCGCCAACCCGACCGCTGAAGCTGCTGCTGGGTTGACCGGGATCGGGAGCCGGCGATAGGCTTCGTCCTCGGTGTCGGTGTCGGGGCCGGGCTGCAGGAAAGCGGGGCGCCTCATCTGTGGGAAAGGCCTGCCTTGGTAACCATTGTCAGCAGACTGAAGGTCCTGCTCGATTGCCGCTCCCAGCTGGGTGTGAGGCTTCGGGTTTTCAGCCAAGGGCTCGGTGGACTGCGGGAAGTCATCCAGGTAGAAGTGGCTCGACGTGTAGATGCTGGCGTTGCGCTTGGGCAAGGGCGCGCCAAGAGGTTTACCGTCTTCGATGTATACTCCAGGACCTCAGAGAAGCGAGCCCGCTGGCGAAATCCGAGGGCGCGTCGCTTTTCCATCGCTTGTCAATACACACACGTTTATTTACACATGTACAGCGTTCTCCATGAGCTGCCGGCTCGGTCTCTGGACCGGCGTTCGCTCAGCGCGGGCCCACTGCAGGTGCGGAACTCTTCGGTTAACCGTCTCGGCCATCCTGCCAATGGCGTCGGCGTACATGTGCTTGCAGCGGTATGCCATTGCATTCTGCGGCATAGTTGATGTGGCTTACAAATTTGCATGTTTGCCCAGGTCGAGATGCCCACCAAGAGATGACATAGCCTACCAAGTCGGATGCCAGGTGCAGATGTATCCAATGTGTTCGTGGCTGCAGCTTGACCGCCCTCCTACCTATAAACAATTTCGCGTGTGCCTCGGAGTTCGTATGCAATGGTTGGTGATTGCTGCCTACCTACACTTGCTGAGCTGGACCTTCTGGTATGAAGCTTATACAGGCTGGTATCACACGCATATGATATTGTGTGACAGTTATGTAGCCATGCATTCCAATACCCTGAATGACGATGGACCGTGGAGCAGACAATGGCAGCCACAGCAAGGAGATGTGCATATAGGATGTTATGCCTTTAGTTGGCTTACATGGGCCTACGTTCCGGTGCAGCAAAGATTTCGAGGTAGGCGCCTGAGACTGAATGTTGGCATTGGTGTGATGTGTTTGCTATGGTTACCCTTGATTGGTCTGGATTGTGCAGATGCAATATTTCATTATGTGAGACAACGGCTGAAGTGCAGATGTGTACCCCGTGCCCAGACGTTGCAGTGTCCTATGACTTGCAAGGAATGTAATATAACAAAGCGGAGCTGCCCTGGTTTCAATTCCAGGGGTGGCGGGAGCGGAATAACGAGATTGATCAGGAGATTCCTCATCGTCAGTCTTGTTCAGCACAGTCTTTCTCCCGCTACCGGTGTGAGAGTTGGTAGCGTACCCACGGCGTTGCCTGAAGCACAGAACAACTTGATCCGTAACCAACCAATAACCTGTGCAAAGCC